AATTCAATTAGGAAAGCTTCAAAGTATTAGATCAGTGAATTTGAACAAATCTCAAAAAATCTTATTTTGTTCGAAAAAGTCTGAATCTTCACGTTACATATGTTCAGGACTAAGAATCATTCGAACTACTGGCCACAATCCAATTTAACAGTATTCGATAAGTAGTGCAAAGGACTAGGCATATGGATATTGATCACTAACAAATGATCAGTCAATTGTAAATAGATCACCCTCTTTTGACATATCTGGAGAGTGCATAACGCATTGGATGTTTGAGACAAAAGGATCTGAGTTTGAGTCTCGATGTAAACATGGTAATCACTATAGTATTCTGCTTAAAAATTTCAGACGCGCAAAGTTGAGGTCGATCTGTAATCAGTAGGATTTACGACACAGACCCCGTTTACAAGTTTAGACAGAACAAGGCTAGAAGGCAACAGAAGAAGGCAGCCAATAGCCATATTTTTATTTAGTCTTAGTATAAAGATTTAAAAAAAAATTATAGAAATTTCTGTAACAGCGTAAGTGAAGTATATTTAGGGTCGGGTGATATACTAATTAATTTACCTAAAAGCCAGGACAGGTCATGTGGGTTCAATACCACCTATTAATCTTTATTGTTTATGAGTATGATAACGGAATAAATCGCGAAAATGAGTAGCGCAAAATAAAGCGAGACAATAGATTTGCAACGCTGACAAAATGTGAGAATATAGAACAGTTAAGTATGAACATGTTTTAAAAAGCCGCACTAGAGTTAAACGTTGATTAGCGATCAATGACTTTGCATCTATTTGGTATTGAGTCCTTTTTATGTAGGATAATGTCACCTGAACGGTTTTAAATGATAACTGCATTGTGAACAATATTCATTGTTGTGTTGCAATCGATAATGATTCTAAAATGCAAAGTCAGTATAAATTGTCGTTGACATTTTAACCCGAGATGCGATCGAGTTATCGATTAGAATATGTAGTAGTGGAATGACCAGAGTAGGAGACGGGATAATCAGTGAAGGGAGGTACGAGAAACGCTGAGTTATATTCCTTTCTGGTAGTAAAAGGCCTAGAGTGGGTTTTAAGTCGTTTGAGAAAGAGATGCACTCAGACCGATTCAAACTGGGTGTATAGCCCGGGTACGAATGAAACTGACTCGAATGCGAGTGTTCTTTTGAGTGAGACTAGCTCTAAACTCTATTCTCTGTGCAGTGGGAATTGGTTCAATTACAGTTAATCATTCAATGTTTCAGAGTAATGAATGTATCAATGCGTGTACCATAGCGTGAACAAATAAGTCGAAATTTGATGAATGTATGATGACAGTTATAGCGATACTCGTCGATTAAACAAATAGCTGATTGTGATGCTTGGTCTTCTAAAAAGACTTAGTTACACGTTCATACTTAACTGTTCTTTATTCTCACATTTTGCCAGTGTTGCAGATTGATTCTGACTATATTTCGCGCTACTTATTCTCGCGATTTATTCCGTTATCATACTCATAAACAATAAACGATTGATCACATGTTATTTTCACACTATTCTAAATTACTCATACTGTGGTGCTGTGGTGCGAACTACTTATAAGTAGTATATAACGTGAGCGTCAACGTAAAGTCTGGTAGCATAATATGGGGGGAAGATCAAGAAAGGAAGAGTTAGAAAACAATGGAATTTGTATGAAACGCATGAATAGTGACAATGGATTGATGTTTGGCAACAGGAACAGTCCAGTTCCATAGGACGAACTGATGTTTTGCAAATGAACAATTTACGATATGGTTTTCCGATTTTACTGAGTAACTCTGTAATTTTCGTTAAATACAATTCGGTTGCCCCACCTGTGTTCTCATTCACTACAATACAAACATGTTATTTTACTGCCCAGATAGTCACACCGAAAACGCTTATTAATTTTTTGTCAACACATTAATTTGCTAATGATCTCATGCTACCATTTTCATTTGTTTCCGAGCCTACACGATATTAATAATATTTTGCTACATAGGTATGATACTTTCTATCCATATACTCACCCCTCATGTACCGTTCTTAGTCCAAAAATCAGTACATGTTTTTCCACTAAGCAAACCGCGCATACCATTACAGTGATATTTTTTAAAACTGACTATTTTTCCAAATTATTGTACAGTTTTGTACAAGGGGGACTTTGTAGTGTGTGTTTCGTTATATTAGAAAGAGGAAGATGAAGAAAAAGAAAGCAAATTAGACAGTATCATTTATCTTCAGTTGTTTTTCTACTATCAAATCAACACCGAAATCAGAATTTTTCAATACAAATGTCAGACGGTTCTACTGTATGGAGTGAAAGTTTGGAGAACTACCAAGTTAATCATCCAGAAGATTCAAGTATTCAACTAACAGTTTCTACGCAAAATTTCGGACCGGTCGGGCCAGAAACCATCAGCAAACAGTCCTACTACGGGAGAAGAGAACATAATCAGATCCCAGCAGAGGAAGAAATTAAGAAGAAGAGGTGGGAATGGATAGGCCACATAATGGGGAAAGCACACCAACGCGTCACAGGCAAGCCCTCACTTGGAACCTCAAGATAAAAGGAAACGAGGAAGACCGAAGAACACATTACGCTGAGAAATAGAGAAAGATATGAGAAGAATGGAACAAAAATTGGACAGAACTGGAAAGAGAAGCTGAGGACAGAGACGATTGGAGAATACTGGTCGGCGGCCTATGCTCCATTAGGGGGTGACAGGCGTAAGTAAGTAAAGTCGGTTGTTACTAGATTATAAGTAAAACTAATTTTATTCAGAATTCTCAATCGACACATTGAAATGTTTCATATTTTTTCATTCTACTTGTTGATTTTATGCTTCGGTCATTCTGTTCATTTATGTGGCATAACATAAAAACAAAAAGTTACATAATTTTGATGTGATAACTAATACTTTATAAATTATTCATCATTTGATAACTTTCTCAATAGTTATAGGAGAGTGATCACTACTCTACTAATAATGTTTCATATATTTTATGAAAAGATAATGTTAATAATTTGTCGGTTAGTTCATTATGAGAAAATTATCTTCACATTGCTTAAGCATAGAGTAACAATTAATGTTAAGTTCATCTAATCCTTACTGTTAACTAGATTTCATCGGTTAAGACTGACTTATCCAACATCATATCCGATATATTTCAATGCTTAGTGTTTAGAAGAAATCAATAAAACGACCGATATTTACAATTGATTTCAAACTGTTATCAACTATTTGAAATAATCCATGAAATAATGAAAAGATAATTACTGCCTGGTAAATTCCATTGATAGTATAAGTTTTATAAAATTTTACTGAGAAAATACTTTTTATGGATAAGACTAAAATGTTAATGATCAAAGCATAAAATATCAAGTGTTGATTGCAATTTACGCCTTCCTCCCTTCCAATTCAACTGAAACATCCTCATTATATATAATCTA